GCCCAATGTCCTGGGATTGACTAGATGAGGGGGAGCGCCTCAGACTATTCTTTGGGAAAGCCGGATCAAATCGAGAGCGTATATGGGTATCACCCCCTCATATTCCGAAGAAAAACGTGCTGAGCGCAGTTCTGCGGAGTGTTTGAAAAAGCAGCCGAAAAAGTTGGGTGTTTCGAGAAGGCTATTAGCAGAATGGTCCGGAATCAGCTCCTCGTCCAGCTCTACCAGTTTTGGGCGTCGTTAAGAGTGCAGCGTTGACGAATTCTCGAATGGCGCCGAGTGGGCTAAAAACCTGCTCTCTAAAGCTGTTTCATTAGAAAGAACTCCTTAGCCATGAAAGTTTCACTCGAAGCCCGGGCAAATCTACCCAAAAGTTAACCGCTGTATGTCCACCCCCCCCCCACCCTGCAAGCTCCTGGTAACTTGGTTAACTTTTTTCTTGCTGACTCCGGAAGCTGACTTGCCTCATTTCCATTATTGGCTCATGAACAGGTCTATATTCGGGATGTAGGAGTATTTCAGCGCCAAACTTCAGTGAAAGCCTAATGCATGGCGCATTCCAGCTCAAATCGTAATCTTTACTCTTCAGGGGTTGTCTATCTCAAAAGCTCACCCCGTGAATAGTACGGCTCCTCAATCGTCAAAGCCAAGGAAACTGCTTCCCCTCCCTGTCGGCTTGTAAGGCATGTTCCGGCAGAATAAAACCCCTAACTTTGATATCAACCCATTTACCCTTGCATGAGTCAATTACCTACCCAAATACTAACACGATTTTGGGCGACCTTCAGGGACATGGCGCTTCTTGAAACGGAGTCACCTACGGCGAACACTTTATCCCTTTTCCTTTTTTGCTTTTTAGATGACAACGTTGCCCCTACCCTCCCCCTCCTTTTTCCTTAAATGACACGGAATTGGACGTTCATTGAAGAATACTTCAACTATACTTTTTATGGTTTTTTGCACCGCCATAGCTTAGGGGAGGGGCAGGCTAAATTCAGCGCAAAGTTAGCTCCTAAACGAATTCTCCTGCCTTCGCTTCTTTGCCCCCTCCGTCGCCAATTCTATGTTGCCGTCATTCTCTCATCGGCTATCATCCGTTCCACGGCGCCGGCTAATCCAATTTTGGATTTCGTGCTTCGCCCATTGTCGTTTCATTCATAATCCGCGTCCAGCAACAGCAATGATAGATGGCCGCGGGTAATCAGCGCTGGCCTTCCGCTTGATCCATGGCCATATTTTGCAGGAACCCGAGCCCCCTTTTCGGCTAATCACGCCGCTGCCGCCACGCAATCATCGCTCTTTTGTTGGAAAACGTGCAGCAGCAGTAGCAGCAGCAGCCCGAAGGCAACAATCCTTGAAGGCGTGGCCATGGTGGCTGATTATCGTCGTGGGGTCGAGGCGCCCTCCGCCCTGCGTCTGTCCCGCCCCTCGGGCCGAATTCTTCACTTTCCATCGGCAGGCCATCATCCATCCGGCGGTCATGATTCGTCTACTCGCATTGATTCCGCTCCTGTTC